ATGTTGCCAATTTCCTTTATCTTTACGTTTTTTTATATTTTCTCGCTTCGGCGAATAGAACGATGCATATTAACTCGAGCCAGCCTAGACCGATTTTAAGAACCGATAGTTGACTTCCCCAAATAAATTAGAAAGACCTCAAGATTCCATCAAATTTAGCATAGTTTTACTTACTAAACGACTTTCCCACTAAGAATGGTCGCCAATTAACACTTCATTGCGAGTTCCAAACTTCATAAATTAGGAACAAATGATAATTTAGAATCCTAATAATTTGATATATACTATTTTAGTTGATTGCAAAGACACATATGTCGAAACCAATCATACAATAAGAGAGAAATGGCTTGGCTTGAAATGCACACCTACCTTGTGACTTACTCGCAGCCAGGGCTGTCTGACGAAATGAAAACATTACAGGCTAACTTTTTTACCCAGGTTTCGAAGTGGTGATGATTACATCTTTTCAAATAACATCACCTGAAATTGTGAGATTAGCTATTAGGTTCTGGAAAAATGTGTGCATGACCATGGCAAACCCAAGCCACCTGTATTGCATATTCCGGCCGCAATTTCCTCCCCACCTACTCACGAGATCCGACGGCCCCAGAAATGTGTCCATTGCATCATGTACATGCTTCGTCCCGACAACCCTTATGATTGCAAATATGGCGTGAAGAAAAGCAATGCAGTTGAATCGATGCCAAAAATACAGAAGCATTGAAGAGTGGAATGAATGCACTACATGAGCAAATCAAAAGTATAAAGGAAGTCGGTAGTCTCCAAGCTCGAATGAATTGCTAGTCCATTGTATCAGAAATTTGACGTGATCGTAATTTCTGCTCTGCTTGATGGAGGTCTCAAGACAACCCTGTCAATCGAGACTACACTCAGATACAGCCTCCTCTTAGCTTAAAATGAATCATCAACTTTTAGACGGTACCAGACACATTATGAGGGTAAATGAAGAAAAAATGGGTTTTGAATAATGTTTTTGTTTCTTTCCTTTCTATTTTGAAGGAAAAGTAGATTAGAAGGAATTCGTGAATTGGTTTCACCAAAAACTGAAGGAGGATTGTCTTGGCTGGATGAAGACTGTAGTGTGCGAAGAAATGCTCGGTTTACCGTCTTGCGAACGATATGATCTTGAGTTAAGCTTTTGTCTGTCATGCGACAGACATCGTTAAAGCGAAAAACCATATTTTATGAGAAAACGTACCAAATACAATAAGCCAACCAATGAGGGTGGTCCGGAGCAATCACTTTACAATCCTATCCAAGCATCCCATGATTTGGCTGCATATTTCATGCATAACATACATTATTGCAGATGAGGGGTGAGGGGAGTGGATGCAGAGGTAGCTGTTATTTTGCCTAAATAATCAAACGTATGATCCAATAATTTTTACATTTGAAAAAATGTATTTATTAATGCCTATTGCGTGTATGCAATGTCTAAGTCATGCAAAATGTGAGAATCATAATCATACAAACTTTCTGGGGGCCTTAGCCTTGATTGACACTGAAGCGAAATCGTGAAAGGCGTCTTGATTAACTATTCGCGTCCACGTAGCCCAAAATTGCTGCTGCAATGCTGTATTCGCCTAGGATTGCGTCAAATTGTTACAATTGAGGAGCCGACATTTCTGTTATTCCTCTTTACTCCAATGCAAAACGTCTCACCTCCTTTGTTCCCTCTTCAGGTGTAACAACTTTTTAAATGGGAAATCAGAAGTGTGGCCTTCTACAGCTCTGAATTTAATCAAACTGTCATGATTTGGAGTGCCAATTTATATAAAATGAAGCTATCAAGCCGGGAAGATAAGAATGAATAAAATGACGAACAATTAATGTTCTGGGAGTATAATTAACTTGTTAGTATACTTAAATACAGTATAGCTTCTCTTCGTATCTAAATTTGACCTATAGTGAGCAATTACCTGTAGAAATTTAAGTCGCGTCAGGAAGTCGTTGACGTAGGAACCAAGCGGCTTTAGGGATGGATACGATTTACCCATCCACATTTTCGGAATCTTCGAGGCCATCATAGATTCGGCAACCTCCTCAAGGTCGGGTGACATGACAACCAGACCCTTAATCGCTTTCCGAATGTTGTTCAAGCTCTGACGGACAACTGTAAGCAGGTTGTTGAAGCGGACCATCTCCTGCACCAATACAGTGTTCATACTTTGCTCGTAGCGTGTTGGGTATTTGCGTAATGCGATCTCGGTGTCATAATTGTCTGGTAGCCGGCCGAGAACATCCGAAGCCACCTCATCAATGATGTCGTCCATTGACTTTCCTTGAGTTGAGCCTCCACGTGTCTGGACGGGAAAATAGAAGAGATCACCGACTGCAATTAAAATCATAGCAAAGAGCTTGCATAATAGACCATTCGAATTGTACCACAGTAAAAAGTCTCAAATTCGTGCGGTTTTGGTGCTCAGAGCGAAGCCAAACGCAGTAAGCAGGATCCATAAGCGACTAATAAATGGTGTTGGAGTATGAACTCAACACGGACCGCTTATACTATAGCAAAATTGGCAGTAATATAAAGTCAAGTTTTTAATGTCTGTAGAGATGAGAGGTGAGGAGCTCTTCCAACAGAGCTGATTGAGCTTCATTAACCAAATCATTTCTCCTAATAAGGGCCTAAATCTTCTGTAAATGAATAGTTAGGCTGAGTCCCCGTGGTTAATGGGTAGAGAGTCTCAAGATATCTTCATGCTTACAAAGTGATATGAAAATAGACAGGCTAACGTATTCGATCAAGGGCCTGTTGCATAAAGAATAAGTATGCGGAATCGGAGATAAAATTAGAATATAGCCAGATAAAACTTTTGTTAGTTTGGAATAAGCACAAGCGATTAAGTTTATAGTGTTAGCTAAGGTGAAGAAGACTGCATAACCCGAATATATGCTTCAAACGATAGATATAAATGAAATTCAGCACAAATGGCAATTTATTTAGTTGAATTCTCACCTGAGTGAGTAAGACATTCTGGAACAGTTGATTTGTCTCCTGCTGGTCCTTTGTAATGTCTGCATTTTCGTGCATACCGAAAATACCCGGGGCCGAATTCAGAGGTAGTGTCTTAATGTAGTCTATATAGCCCTCATACTAGAAAACAAGGAATTGAAAAGAGATAGAAATGATGTTTCTATATTCTATGCATAATTTGTGATAGCTAATTCATAATCTTCATTATCACTTTTCGTAGACGGGGAAATGAGAGAAACGTCTAAAACCAGTC